CAGGTCACTGCTGTCTGTGAGAAAGGAGAAGGGGCACACAGGGCTTTGGGGCTCTGGGATCTGGAGGCATGCTGGGAGGTTTGTGTGAACTGCTCTTTCTGATTGACACCCCCACCCCCACCTTCTCTGGACCCTTATCCTCAGCATAAGTGGCTTCACTTGGCACGTGAGGGCTAGGTGATGCAATTCTTCCTGTGCAAAGCCTGAGGCCTCAGGAGTGTGGAAGTGCACACGAAGCCAAGATAACGAGCCTCTCCTAGGTATTTATGGTGGTTATTTGTTATCTGGAGCGTTGGAGGAGGCTCAGAATGAGTGTTTGCTCACTGGGAGAATGGTCTATCCCAGCTGGGCAGTGGCAGAGTCCTGGGTGATTTTCCGGGACAGCACCTGGGAGGGGCTGCCCCTCTGGGAACAGGCTGGGCACGGGGGAGGAGGTGCCTTGGGCTCATTTCCTGCCATGTTTTCCTTGTACACTAACCTGAGCCTAGACCTCTGCTTGGAGTGTTACCCCATTTGGGGAGCCCCTTTCCTCTTGCCTGCCTGGGAATACTGACTGTAGTCTGTGGGCTAAAGAGCTGACCCCTGGAGCAAGGGTTTGCAGGAATGGCTGGGGATGTGTCTCAGCTGTGGAATGCTTGCCTAGCGTGTACAAGGCCCTGGGTTCCATCCCCAGCACCGAATAAACCAAGCATGGTGGTGCACACCTATAATCTCAGCGCTTAGGAGGTAGAGGCAGGAGGATCAGGAATTTAAAGTCATTTTTGCTACATAATGAATTTGAGGTCAGCCTGGGCTATTAGACCCTCTCTTACCATCCCCAGCTTAAAACAAAACAAAAACCAAAGAGCTTTGCAAGAATATCAGCTTGGTTCAGATCTCAGCCTTGTTCTTCCCTACTGGCCAGGAGGCTTGGGCAGTGAGGTGGGCAGGAAGGCAACATTGTGTATAGATGACACCTTCCACCCGGCCCATAGCTGCAGGACCAGGACCTGTGCCTGGTGTTTCGTGTGCTTGGATAACACACAGCCAGGAGGCTCATTCCTCAGCCTCCCTGTGGCATGTAGTGTACTCCTGGTATTTCTAGGTCCCTCTGGAGCTACTTGACCTCACCCAGTAATGCCCAGCCCCACCTTGAGGTCAACTTCAAAGTTGACACAGGATCTGCCATTAGCAGTTGTAATAGCCTCAAAGTTGGCTGCCAGGCTTTCTCTTGGGCAGCCTATGAGGCAATACCTGAGTGTTCAGCATGGTGGTGGCATAATTGCCTGGCACCTGTAAGACCTGGGGTTGCATTTCCTGCACAAAGAAGGAAGGCAAGGAAGGAGAGAGAAGAGGGAGGGGGAAGAAGGATGGGGGGTGTGTCATAAGCAGCAGATGTTACCTCTCATAGCTCTGCACCCTAGGCATCACTGTGTGCCCACTGTGCATGGGGCTGAAGGTGTGGGGCAGGCAGGACAGAGCAGGTCATCGCTGTCTGTGAGAGAGGAGGAGGGGCACATGAGGCCTTGGGGCTCATGGGGTGGAGGCGTGCTGCACTGCCTCTGCTCTCCCAGAACTGTCTGGCCTGTGTGGACACCTCTTTCAGATTGAACACTCCAGCTTCCTCCCCGTCCGTCTGTTCTCCCCTGCACTGGTGGAGTGGCCAAGCCTGGCAAGTGCAGGTCACGTGATACCACTGTAGCTTTGTCTCCCTCAGGGGTGCAGAAGCAAAGTTGAAGCTAAGATGAAGGCAGCGGGAGATTGAGGGTCTGCAGGGTATGTGTGTGTGTGTGTGTGTGTGTGTGTGTGTGTGGTTACTTTGTCACCTATCGATGGCTGTCATCTTCTTGTGAACTCTCATGGTGGAAGGGGGAAGGGGTTGCTGGTGGCTTCTTTTATAAGTTATTCCTCTCATGGGTCTCTGTCTCATTACCTAATCCCCTCCCCAAAGACCCCATCTCCTCTCACTGCCCAATTGTGGGTGAGCATTTCTTCTTCTTCTTCTTCTTCTTCTTCTTCTTCTTCTTCTTCTTCTTCTTCTTCTTCTTCTTCCTCCTCCTCCTCCTCCTCCTCCTCCTCCTCCTCCTCTCCCTCCTCCACCTCTTCCTTTTCACAGGGTTTCTCTGTGTACTCCTGGCTGTCCTGGGGCTTGCTCTGTAGATCAGGCTGGCCTTGAACTTAAAGGTTCACTTGTCTCTGCCGCCTGAGTGCTGGGATTAAAGGCGTGGGCCACCACTGCCTAGCTGCGGGTGAGCATTTCAACCTGTGGGCTTTGGCAGGGCCACAAACCAGGGCTCAGGGATCGAGACTTAGCCGGTGCCTATGATTCTATGCTGAGCGCTGTTTCTTGACTTCCTTATAAAAAATAATGGTTAAACAGGTGTCCTGGCTAGGCTCTCTATTGCTGTGATGAAACACCAGAACCAAAAGTGTCGTGGGGAGGAAAGGGTTTATTTGGCTTATGTTTCTACAGCACTGTTCACCATAGAAGGAAGTCAGGACAGGAACTGAAGCAGGGCAGGAACCTGGAGGCAGGAGCTGATGCAGAGGCCGTGGAGGGTTGCTGCTTACTGGCTTGTACCTTCTCATCATAGGTGGGCATAAGAGTGATCATTAGTAACCACATGACACAGTCAGTACTGGGCTGTCTTGAAATCTCTTCTGCCAACTCCATTAACCTAAAACTCTTAGATTTAGCCTCTGGCAGGTTATTATTATTATTTTTTGATAAGGGCAAAAAGCAGCCACATTCTTTGTAAAAATATTGTAAGAATGCTCGCTAATAGTCTTTCCCTCTGAGACTTCTGTACTGGGCCCCCACTGTCCCCATCACCCCCAGCACCACTGTCTATGGCCCTCCTGGGACGGCCCAGTGAGCCCTACTTAAAGCACTCAACTGCTTTTCCAGTCCAAAGTCCACATGCTGCCAACATGCAGCAGAGTCAGGCCTGTCATAGCAATCCTCCGGTCCCGGTACCAACTCCTGTCTCAGTCACTGTTCTGTCACTGTAAAGAGACACCATGGCCAAGGCAAGTTTTGTTAAAGAAAGCATGTAACTGGGGCTTGCTTGCAGATTCAGAGGGTTAGTCTGTTATCGTCTGGGCAAGAGCATGGCGACATGCATGGTGCTGGAGTAGTAGCTGAGAGCTGCATCCTAACTCATAGGCAGTAGCAGAGAAAGAGACTTGGCCTGGCATGGGCTTCTGAAATCACAAAGCCCACCCCCAGTGACACGCATCTCCTCCAACAAGGACACACCTCCTAGTCTTTCCTGACAGCTCATCATCTGGGGACTAAGCTTGCAAATATATGAGCCTACGAAAGCCAATCTCGTCCAAACCACCGCAACAGGAAGGATAGGGTAGGACATTGTGTGACATGGTGGGGCTGAGGAGTAGGTGAGGATTTAAAAGCCTCAGCTTTAAAAATGTTTCAGAGATTTTTGTTTGTTTGTATTTTTTTGTTTGTATATGTATTTGTGACGAGTGTGTGTGTGTGTATGGGTGTGTATGTGTATGGGTGTGTGTGTATGAGTGTGTGTGTATGAGTGTGTGTATGTATGGGTGTGTATGTGTATGGGTGTGTGTGTATGAGTGTGTGTGTGTGTATGGGTGTGTATGTGAATGGGTGTGTGTGTGTGTATGGGTGTGTGTACGTGTGTGCGCGCATGCGTGCGTAGAGTCTGAGGATATCTTTCCTCCCACTGTGTGGGTCCCGGGAATCAAACTCAGGCTGTCAAACTTGGCAGCAAGCATCTTTACTGAGCCATCTCACCTGCCCTCAACCTCAGCTTCTGAATGGTGCTGGGAGAGCATAGTCCTCACAGCAGACAGACTTGTGTTTAGTGGCCCTCTGATTAGCCCAGTGGTCTGAGTAAGTGAGGGAGCCTGTTTCCCAGCCTGGATACTGGGTTAAAACTCCTTAAACTTTTTCCAATTCATGACCCCTTCTCACCCAAGAAACTTATATCCAACCTCGGATGCACAGATGTATTAAATAGGTACACGTACCACACACTTAGCAACGATGGGTCATTTAGACATTTATTTAACAACTCCTTAGTGTATTGTGTCATTTTACACAATTTTTCAATGGTTAAAGACATAAACAGATTTTGCATACTAATGAGGTGGGTATGCTTGTTTAGTAGTTATGAAGATTTAAATCTCCGGTAAACACTGGATGCAGCAGCACACAAGGCAACTGTTCCTCACAGTTGATTGGCTGTTTTGATTTTATGATCATCAGCGCTGAGACCTCTCTGCAGTTTCACATAGAAACCCAGGACAAAACATCAGAAGAATGTTTAAAGCCATCTCAGGGACTGTTAAAGATTATCTCAGGTCAAAATCCATATCGTGATTTTACTTAAATGAAATTCAACTCAGCAACTTTTAAAATTAAATATTTGAACATAATCCAATCCCAAAGACAGAATGGTTTGATACTTATGTGCTGAAGAATGTGGGTAGGAGTAAATGAAGTCTTTGCTTTCCATGATGAAACAGTATATTTTTATTTATTTATTTAAATTTTAACTTTTTTTCTTTCTTTCTTTTTTTTTAACTATTTATTAATTTATTACATATACAGTGTTCTGTCTGCATATATGCCTGTATGCCAGAAGAGGGCACCAGATCTCATTATAGATGGTTGTGAACCACCATGTGGTTGCTGGGAATTGAACTCAGGACCTCTGGAAGAACAGCCAGTGCTCTTAACCTCTGAGTCATCTCTCCAGCCCCCAACAGTATATTTTTATAAGAACAGAGAACTCTATGTACAGTAAAAACATTGCAATTTGTAACATTCATGGTCTTGAACCAGGAGGCTCATACTCATACATAAAATAAATAAATAAGTCTTTAAGAAACGAATTAAAAAAGACAGTCTTGAATCAGAGCCAAGGTTTCCTTTTTTTTTGGAGACTAGCCAGCTTAGATGACCTGAGGGCCTAACCCTAAGCCATCCTTCCAGTGTGGCGAGAAGGCTGAAGTTTCACTGAACCATCTCTCTGCAGGGCGCCCGCTGTGGTCAGCAATGGGGATGCTGTGGGCGCAGCTTTCTCTGGGGTTCGGCGCTCCAGCTGGAAGCGGAAGAGCTCACGTCGCAGTAAGTCGCTCCCCACTCATCCCCGCCCCCCATCTACCACCTATCCCAGACAGAACCAAGATTGTTTCTTAGTCTCTAGGCCAAGAACCGGCATGGGTGCTTGAGGGCCAAGGGGACATTCATCTTTAGAGGGTTACCACAGACTTAGTGGCTGTCTGTCTGTAGTGGACTGCCCACTCACGGCTCACCAGAGCCCTAGATCCTTAATCCAGCTGTCCACCCATTCTCAAGAGGCTCCAGCAAGAGGCTGGCCAGAGTTAGCTCCCTGGCAACTGAGGCAGGCCCTCTGCGAGGAGACCCACGTTCAGAAGCAGGCGGTTCCCACACAAGCCAGAGGGGCAGCTTCTGTATGAGCTGGGGTCCAGGGGATGAAGTACCACGTGGCTCATGTTAGTGTGATGGCTCATTAGGGTTGAGGTGGGCTGCCAGCTCCCTAGCTCCTCCAATACCTCTGCCAAAAGGTGAACGATAGAATCACACTTGTGGTTCATCACAGGGGTGGGTGAGAGAATGAGACAAAGGGGGAGGGGCGGGACTAGTGAGGACCATCACAACCATCCAGGAGAGGGGTGGTCAGTCTGGACCCAGTGGAGAGTGGGATGGGTGGGAGGAAGAAGAGGGTATGGGGACAGAGCCTGGTCAGGCTCTGGACGCTGCAGGACTCAGGATGGCATCCCTTAGGGGTTAGGGTCTTTCTAGGAGGCCCAGAGGTCAGGACAGAGTCCCTATCCTGGGGCTAGGCATCAGTGCAGGGTTTCCCGGCAGGTACTGTGGCCAGGGTGGAGGTCTGTGGGTGGCTGGGAGGTAAGTTGGGGTCTGTGGTGGCCACTGAGAAGTGGGCCAGAGGTAAGCAGTGGTGAAAGTCAGGATACATGATGGCCTCCGTGGCTGTCATCATGTGCCACTTGGGTGACCTTTCTCCCCTCTGTCACCAGTTGACCGATTCACTTTCCCCGCCCTGGATGAAGATGTGATTTATGACGACGTCCCCTGTGAGAGCCCAGACACCCATCAGCCCGGTATGGCCTATTCTGGCTTCCTTCCTGGCCTTTCCATGGGACAGGGAGGGAAAGCCATGCTTAGGAGGGTCTCTCCCGCTTCCTTCTGTCCCCAGTGCCTTCTGTTCCCACCTTTTCACACTCCTGTAGACAGAAGCAGAGATTCTTCATAACTTCAGGTCTGGGCAAACTGGGCAGGACAAGGTTTGGGGTCTTGGGTAGGATGACATTAAGCCATGAGTCCCCAAAGGCTCTGGGTTGAAGACAGAAGAGGGACAGGTGGTGTGTGTGTATGTGTGTGTGTGTTGGGGGACTGAGATACATTAAGCCATGCTGCTCAATACACATATTTATGTATGTGTACACATGTGTACATACACACACACACACACACACACACACACACACACACACACACACACACACGAACACAATATGTACACATGCATACACGGGCACACACACAAAGTGGTCCAAAGCCAAGACCCCTGAGCTATATCTCAGACTCTTGGTGCTTTGAGACAGGGTCCTGCCATGTAGCCGAGGCTAGCCTTGAACTCATTTTCCATCATCAGCCTCTGAAGTCAGCTGGGATTACAGGCACACATCATTGCTCCAGGCTGACTCTTCACATGTTGTCATGTAACCCGTGATTAAGGGGTCTTCATTTTACAGATGAGGAGACGTTAGAGGCCAGGCTGAAATTCAAGTCCAGCGCTCTGGCCCTCCCCCGGGAGGATCCAGGTGGCATTTTTTTTTTGACAGATGAAGCACATTTGATTTTCCTGCAGAGTCAACACAACCCCTTGAGATAGTCAGGGTGGGGCTTGTGATTCCTTGTGTACCAGACAGGTCAAGCCCCAAGCCCCAGATCACACAGCTAGAATTTGAATATAGGATGACTTTTTAAAAATTATATTTTTCTATCTGTTTCTGGGGAGGGGGCCCCCTACCTACTTGGGAAACATCACCCCTGCTTTTGAGTAGCCTTTAGTCTGATGGGGCAGCAGTAGCTATCCTTGGACAATACACAGTACCATGGGGAGTACACAGATACCAGCAAGGCCAGAGGGCTGCTGAGAATCTCCTGTCTCCTGTCCCAAGAAAAGGGACTGATGCGCCAGTGATGTGCATGTCACTTTAGCAGGTCTGGGCTGGGCTTGGATCATATTTACCTGCTTGCAGCTCACTGGATCCTGGGAAGATAGCTGATGGAGCTAGGAGGCAGGGGCTCATAGGGGTGCGTCTCAAAGTGGGCAGTTCCAGTGGCTGACCGGGCCCCCTCACGGTGATTTCTCACCTGAATAAGATCAAGCAGTTGATGATGTAACCCAGGTTGTCTCTGTCCTCAGGTGTCACAATGGGTCTTTTTTTAGGCGTCCCTGGGATCTAGGGTCTATCTCCTCAGACGATAGTTGTGGGGGTAGCCAATGTAGAAATAACACACCCAGCCTCTCCTTCTCAAGGTCGCAGCCAGGGTGGCCTGCTGCTCTATCCTAGAGACGTTAGTCACTAACATCTTGGCTTAAAAATAACCTCCCCATGATTGGAGGTGAAGTGCTTGTCACCAAGCAGGAGGGTTTAAGTTTGATCCCCAGGACCCATAAAAAATGCTGGGCATGGTGTAGTCCCACAGCTAGGGAGGCAGAGGTCGCTCCCTTGGGCTTGCTGGCCAGCCAGCCTAATCGAATTGGCAAGCCTCAGGTTCTTGTGATAGATCCACATTCAAAAAACAAGATGGATGGTGCCTAAGGAACACACACACACACACACACACACACACACACACACACACACACACACACAGAGGCATGCACACGAGTGCCCAGTTGAATTCTGCCCCTCTAAAGACAAGACACTCAACTTATTGTCCCCACTTCTCAGTCTAAGCATTTCCTGTGGTCTGAAGTGAAGGTTCCTCTTGGACTCTAGGCCAGTTGCGCCCTCTCCTGGACCTTTGCAGACCACATGGACCCATGGGAAGGATACAGCATGAAGGAAGTCCAGCCCCTTCCTGTGTCTTCCCATTGATGCATTAGAAGTCTCCAGCAACCCAGGAGCATGCTAGGGTTCCAGTTAGACTCTGAGGTTCCCTCTCTCTTCTGAAAAGATGCCGAAGTGTGAGCACCCTGTTCTCAGGCCCTTCTTTCATAGAGAGGTGGAGGACATGCTGGCACTGTCTCTGAGGAAGTGGAACTAAGTCTGGGGCCAGACCAGCACACCTGCTCTGTCCTCCCTCCCTTTCTTATGCCTTTACCCACTGGGGTTCCAGATCTGGGTAGCTGGGGCCTCCAGCTCACCAGATTGTCCCTGGCTGGCAGGGGCAGAGCGGGGCCTACTTTACGAAGATGTACATCGTGCTGGAGCACCGCGTGAGGCTGAGGACCTAGGCTGGAGCTCCAGCGAGTTTGAGAGCTACAGTGAGGACTCAGGGGAGGAGGCCAAGCCAGAGGCAGAGCCCACCAAGCACCGGGGATCCTTCCAGCCCAAGGTGAGGAGCCTGGGGGTTATCTCTCAAGGTCTGGGCACCCACACTCCTTCAGGAAGGGATGTGGGTGGTGAGGGCCGGGCACTAGACCCCCATCTGGGCACCATCAGTTTCCAACAAGGGGCTTGGGTTATCACCTGAAGTTAGGAAGTCACCTGGGATCCCCTGTTTGGCTGTGGAGGACCTGGAATGGAGGCAGGTACTCCCCTGTCTCCCACATTTCTATGCAGACTAGGTAGGTCAGTTGCTTGTGATGTTCATGGGCTTAGATTGGTCTTCAGAATTCTTATAAACACAGTGGTCTGTGAAGCCCAGCCAAATGATTAGAGTTGGTTATTGCCTCATTCAACTCAGTTTTCCGGCCCTATCAGGTACATCCTCAGACCCACACAGTACCATTGGCCCTGGGAGTGGACAGGTGATGGGGGAGTGTGAGCAGGGGACTGCACCGGAGCTGCACTGGCCCAGCATCTGCTTTCTTCTTGTCTGTGGCCTTTCTCCTGCCTGTTTCACGAGGAGCCACTGGGGTGGAGATCTGGTTCTTCCTCTCCTGTGCTCTTCCTACTGCTCTCATGTCCCATGCTGAGACTGAGATTCAGTGGGTGACACTTAAGGGTCCTGCCTGACCAGAGGTGACAGGGGTCTCTCTTTAGACATGGGGGTGGGTGGGGTCCAGACTGGCTGGGATTAGTGGCTAGCTCCAGTTGCATCCACAGACTTCTTGGGAAGGCTTACAGTATTCCTTCCTGCCTGTTCCTGGGTTTCAGGTACACCCCCGCCCTCCGGGAGAGGAGTGTTGGCCGGAAAGCCTTTACTCAGCCTTGTGTTGAGCAAGCTCAACTGCATGGACTTCTCAGGATAGGCCATGGGAAGGAGCTTAATGCTCACTGGCCACCAAGCACAGTTCTCAAGACCCTACTGTGTACCAGGGCATCATCTTAGGTCATGCGGGGTAGTGTGGGTCCAGGAAGACCTGACCCAGGCTTGGTGGACCTTTATGGTCTGGGAGGAGATGCTGTGTATGACATAATTTGTTAAGACTGATAATAAGGACTAGGGGTGTGGCTCAGCTGGTATAATGCTTAAGGCTCCCATCCCCAGTGCCTCATAAACTGAGTGTGGTGGTGTACACCTGCAGTGCCAACGCTGGACTGGTGAAGGCAGGAGGATCAGAAGTTCAAGATTGTCATCTGCTACTTCGGAAGTTTGAGTCCAGCCTGGGCTACATGAGACCCTATCTTAGGGGAAAAAAAGAAAGATAAAAATGCCTTTCTGTTGAGATGAGGGGTCCTGCCCAGCAGCATGCTTGACATGTGTGGGGGACCAGTGGGATAAGCCTGAGGGCTTGCAAAGCCAGGTGAGAGTTGGGGGCAGGACTCTTGAGGCCTGAGGAGATGACCCTGATGCTTGTGGGCCAGAGAGACAGCCCAGGCTGGCCTGCGATTGTTTCCTGTTTTCAGAAGGGGTAGCATATGTTCCTTTAGAGAAGAGGTGCTGTACCACAGGCCCCCCAATTCCCTGAGTCACCTCTCAGTAGAGATCAGGGTTTGTCAGGCTATACTGCTCTGGATGGTGACAAGTAGACTATTGTGCCTTGGGCATCCTGTGGTCCCTCCTCATCACCCAGGTCCACTCCTACCTCCTCCTCCTCTGGGTTTTTGAGACAGGGTTTCTCTGTGTAGCCCTGGCTGTCCCAGAACTCATTCTGTAGACCAGGCTGGCCTTGGACTCAGAGATCTGCCTGCCTCTGCCTACTTAGCAGAGGGATCAAAGGTGTGCGTCACCACACCTGGCTCACTCCTACTTTCTTGACAGGGATCTGAGAGGGAACCGCAGGATCTCTGAGGGAAGGAGTGTGGCAAGGGCAGACTTGTGCCACCCAACAGCAGGCCTTAGCCTTACATGACATCAAGAGTCCTGGTGGGAGTTGGTTGACATCACAGGTGCCAGGGGTCTGCTCCCAGGGACCCTGGCTCAGAGCTTGCCTTTTAACCCTCTGGCCCCAGGGGGTGCAAGTGGCCCCTCACAACTTTAAGGAGGGCTGGAGTGGGCTTCTCCTACTCCATAGCCTCGCCTGGAGTAGGATCCGTGGCCTGCTGGGAACTTGTACCCCTTAACAAACTCACTCTGGGGTAGCAGTTGGACGGCGCTCTGTTCTCTTCCTCAACAGTGTCCCATAGCACAGTTTTAGGGATTTTTAACAGGAGGGCCTTTTCTCTATCCATCTGCTAAAGCCTGCAAGCTTGCTAATGGCTGGTTCCCAGGGAGATGGGGGTGTGTGTGTGGCTTCTTCTCTCTGCTTTCTCTGCCTAGGGTTACCGCCAAGCACTGTCTGTGGAGTTTCACCCTCCTGAGCTGCTGGGGCCCCTGCTCTCTGCCTGGCCTTGCAGCCGCTGTGTGTTTCAAGGCCCCTGCTGCTCGCACATATGCTGTGTATGCTGCAGAGCTCTGCATGGCAGGCCTCTGGGGAAGCATTTTATCCTGTCCTTGGAGTCTGATGGCAATCCCAGCAATAAGCTAGCTAGGACTCCCTGCTTTAAGATGCCCAGGCCAACCAACTCCAGCCCCCAAAATGGACCAAAGTATCTGTAAACAGACCTTCTCAGACGTACCCGACCCAGGTGTGAGCAGCTCCCTTGAGCTTTGTTGGTCCCCAAGTGACTGTTCTATTGGCCACCAGGGTCAGCGGGTGTTTGCTGGGCCTGTGACTCAGCCTGTGACCTCTTTGTGGCCAGTCACTGTGACCCAGCTAGGGCAGTCTGGGAAGGGTGGCCTCATTACAGAAGCACCTACTATAGCCTCAGTCTCCTTCTGTTCAGCTCAGCCAGTGACCTTGGACCCTAATGCTTCCCTAGTCTTTTGACCCTCAGAGAGGGAAGGGGCCGGAAGGCCAAGGGGCTTGATGGTTTCATGCCGCAGCTGAACAGGGCTCAGGACAGAGCCCCCCGCTGCCCAGTGTGCTGGCAGTGACTGGCCAGTGTTGCTGGCAGAAAGAGTTTCACGTTGATGAGCTTCAGCTCAGGGAGGTTAGGAGACATGGTTGGGGTCACACAGCCAGGAATGGCAAGGCCAGGACTCAGCTTCATAGATGGGTAAGAAGACCTTATCCATCTGTCTGTCTGCCATCTACTCATCCTCCATCCATTGATCCATCCATTTAGTAAATACAGAGGACTTACTGAGAGATGGGATGCTAGTGTCTCCTGCTTTGAATCATTACTAAGCTCTGGGCTTTACATGGGATGTCTGATGATGCTCTCAGCCATCTACGAAGCTAGGTGTCCAGAACTTCTCATGGTCATTTTACCAGCAAGAAAACTGCAACCTCAGAGAGGTCCAGAGACTTCCCTGGCTCGTAAGTGCAGAGCCCAGACTTGCGTGTTTGCCCACCTTCCTGCGGAGTCCCTGCTCCATCTTTCTGTTAGTCTCTCTGTCCAGAAATGCACCGTGTCTCTGTCATCTGTGTGCTTCATCAGATGCCCTTGTGGCTCACACAGGCCCTGTATTTAAATGTCTGCTTTTTCTGTCTGGTCATTCTCCAGATAGCATGTAAACCAGTCATCACCATTCATGCTTCCATGCTGCGGCCCCTCCCTCCTTCCATTCATCACACCCTCCCTCCCTCCCTCACTCCCTCCCTCCCTCCCTCCCTCCCTCCCTCCCTTTCTCTTTCTTTCCCTCTCTTCTGCCCATTCACCTTTTCCTCCAGTGGAATGCTGGGGTGAGCTTGGACTAGCTTGTTAGTATTACAAATCGATGTTCAATGGTGCTACTTTGTTAGCATGTGGCTAGCCAGGGTTGGGGGTTTCACACTGTGGAGACACCAAGACACAAGGCTTGTACCTCTGAGAACCAGTTGGTAAGTATTTATCAGCTCAGCACTGCCTCTGGACATCCATCTGTCTCTCCAACATTCATTTGTCCAGCTATAGTTACCCAACCAAATATAGCCAATTGCTTACCTATCCATTTGTTTGCCTGCTCATCGATCCACTTATCCATCCATCATCCACCCATCCACTCATCCATTCATCTATCCATCCACTCATCTATCCATCCATCCATCCATCCATCCATCCACCCATCCATCCATCCATCTTGCATCCACTCACCCATCAACGTATCCATCCCTCCATCCCTCCATCCACCCATCCATCTATCCATCCATCCATCTCTATATTGTTCACTCAGATGAGTGTCCAGCAATCCTCTAACCACTTCTCCCTTTGTCCACATACCTGTTCACTGTCCCCACCCTGTCATTCAGCCCATCCATCCCTTGTCAGCCTTCCACGTTAGAAGTTTCATTGTCAGGCCTGGGGTGAAGAGAAGACACAGTCAGTATCATCCAAGTATCATTCCGCCATGAGAGGGAGGCCTGGGCTCACTTCCCTCCCGACTCTGCTGCCCAGCAGCTGGGAATCCCGCAGCAGAGACCCAGCTTCAGCTGCCTGGCATGCTGGGCTGGATCTGCAGGTGCAGGTTCCAGTTGGATGCACCCAGACTGCTATCCCATCTGCCCGCCCGATTGTCCGTCTGCCACGTGACCTGAGTCTCCTTTTCCCTGTTGTCTGTGTTTTGTCTCCTCGCTGTCCCGCCTGCTCTTCCCGCCTGCTCTCCTTCTGCCTGGCCGCTTGGGGCCCCAGCTTTCTCCAGACCTGACTAGGCTAAAGGAGAGATACGTCAGGACTAAGAGAGACATCTTGGCTTTGAGAGTTGGGGGTAGAGACATGCAGGAGCTGAAGCTCAAGTACGATTGTAAGGTACTGTCTGTCCCTCGCTCCTGGCCCCAGGGGGCCTTCCTGCTGGGCCACAGAGGAGGGTGGGTGTGAGCCTGGGGAGGCCACCCTTGATACTTGGGACCTGGCTGCACCTCACATCTGCACTGCAGAAGGGCAAACCCATGAGCCAGCTGTTCCTTCCACTTCCTGGTTCTTGTCTAGACCCCCCACCCCCACCCTCCCACACCTGCCCGAGAGATGCCAATGAACCACAAGAACACCCAGTGGCATTTCAAGTCAGAGAGCCCCTAGAATGACCTGGGGTTCTCCTTTTAAAAAATGCAGGTTCCTGGCCAGATCTAGCAGCCATGTGCCTGTAATCTCAGTACTTGGGAGGCTGAGGCAGGAGGATTGGGAATTCAAGACCGGCTTGTGCTATATAGTAGGACTAGGCTTCTGGGTGATGTCGTTGACAGCAGTAGATGGCCTTAATTGAGCACCACACAGCATGGGCCGTAGAGCCCTGTGGATCTGGGTTCAATCCCAGCCTCACTGCTTACCCTCTGAGTGACCCTGGGGAGACCCCTTGGCTTCAGTGAGTCTCCATTTCTCTGCCGTAAGTAGTGGCGACCCCAGGGTGGATGTGGAGACTGGATGATGAGGCCATTAAGGTACTCGGTGATGTTTGGCTTTATGTGCTTAATGATGGTGGCCACTGTTATTGTACGGTCCCTGTGGCACCCAGAGATGGCTGTCTTTCCACTATCATTTAGTGCCAGGAGAGTAGGGCATGGCTGGTGGTCACCCTGGCAGTCCGCAGCAGCACGGGGCTCCATTCTGGTCATGCCAGGGTCTGAGTGCTGTCAATCCTGCATTTCTGCCCACTGCAGCAGAGCCAGGGCCAGCAGGAGGATGGGGAGGGACCTCAGCAGACACCCATGAAGGTCATGACCCAAGAAGGGAGCAAGAGAGGAGTCAGGAGCCCACGGAGGGTAGAACACTTGGGCCTGTGGCCCAGCTTGCACTGTATGGAAGGGTGCACATGCCAGGCCAGCTCAGGTCATCTTTGTTCAGAAAAACACCAAATGGAAAGGGCTCTGATGATTCCCTGAAGGCCACACTGAGGGATTCTGAGGATCATTGGCTCATGGATGGTTCCATCTAGGGTATAATCCCCCCTAGTTGGATGTGTCCTAGAAGAGAGGTTCACCCATGTGCAGTTTCTGGGGTTGACATCTGTTCCTCCATTAGATTTTCTTTTTCTTTTTTCTTTTTTTTAAGATTTATTTATTACATATACAATGTTTTGTCTACACATATCCCTGCACGCCAGAAGAGGGCACAGGATCTCATTACAGATGGTTGTGAGCCACCATGTGGTTGCTGGGATTTGAACTCAGAAGAACAGCCAGTGCTTCTAACCTCTGAGCCATCTCTCCAGCCCCCGCCCCCATTAGATTTTCAAAGGCACTTATGACCCTTCCTACCAAGGGACCAAAAATCATAGCTATGGCTACAGCAAGGGGTGGGCACCCACTTCCTCTTTGCCTTGTTTCCTGAAAGCCGGTCTTGTTCCTAAAAAGCCACCACTCTGTGTTAATTCTCTAGCCTCAGCCCACCCCCTAGGTTCTCAGCTCCCCCAGGCTCTCAGTCCTCCAGGCTCCCAGCTCCCCCAAGCTCTAAGGCCCCCAGGCTCTCAGCCCGCCTACCCCAGGCTGTCTGTCTGTCCTCACTCAGACCCGATGAAGAAAAGTGTGTAGCCCTTCAGTTGGGAGTCAAAGAGCTGCTGAAGGTAGAAGTGAGGCCAGTGAACCCAGGGGAACCCTCACTACCAGACTGGTATCTTCATCTTCATCAGAGTCTGAGGAAGGAGGGGGGTTTCATGGAACATCCATACCATGGCCGTGTGGCTCTTCCCGTGAAATGAAATTGAGATTTCCAATTCTTGGTCACACGGCATGTTCAGAGTGCCTATTAGTCACATGTGGGCCCCATATCGGACAGTGCAGATACCCCACCCTTGTGGAACATTCCGATAGTGAATGCTGGTGGTGTGGAAAGTGTTGGGGTGGGGCAGGGGCAGGGTATAGGGACAGCAGTTTTCCTCTTAGGGTCCTAGTGGCAGGTGTCTGCTTCCCACTCTGAGCATGTCACAGTCCTCTCACCTCAAGGCCTGCTTGGCTTGCTTTATTGGCAGCACTGAGCGTGGCTTCTGCATCCTGTGGCCTCAGTTTCCCCTCCCTGTGGGCAGAGGCTTGAACCTGCCTGTTGTGGATGAGGGGTGGGGCTCCTCACCTGGCTAGGCAGGGAGGGGGGTCAGCCTTCAGGGACCTTCCCAGAGCTGGCCTGTTGAGTCTCTGCTCACCTGGGAAGGTAGCCTGTATGCTTCTGTCTGAGGTTCAGAGAGATGTCTACTTGCTGAGGAGTATTAGAGCAGGGGTTTGAACCTAGACCCGGCCCTTTTCCCATCCCATCACCCCCTTAGGTAGAGGGAAGAGGTCAGGCCCTCTCCTGCCCATGGAGGGACCCTGGAGCATGAGCACATCTCTCTCCCTGCATCTCTGGCCTCTGCTGCTCACCTATCCAGAATGGATGGAACAGGGCTGGCTGGCTCTGATGTCTGGGCTGAGGTCCCTTGAAGGCAGGGGTTCCCAGCTCCCCTCAGTTTCTGATGAGTCCCTTTTGCCTTTGCTCAGATGACCCAGCTCATGAAGGCCGCCAAGAGCGGGACCAGGGATGGGCTGGAGAAGACACGGATGGCCGTCATGCGTAAAGTCTCCTTTCTGCATAGGAAAGACGTCCTTGGTGAGCAGGGGCGGCACTCAGCAATGTCCTCGGGGTGGGGCATGCTGGGGGTGATGTCGCTGGTGCCTGGCCTTTTCTGAACTAAACCCCAAATGTCTGGGTTAGTTCCAGCTTGCTTCCCACACCTCTGACTGGCACGGCCAGTCTCTTATGTGAGCCATGGGGCCTCCCTTCCGTGTGGCTAAGGCTGTTTCTCTTCTGCCTCCTGGTTCACCTGACTTTATCCAGAATGTTCTTTGTCCATCTTCATCTCACCACTGCTTACTGAATACCTACTAAACACTGTCCTCAGTGAACCTAGCAATTTCTTCCAGGGGCTCCGGGTGCTGTAGGGCATGGATCAGACTGACATTAGTCTTTTAGGTCCTTGCGGGAGTGTGGAGGTGAGTGTGGGTAGAGGTGAAAGGTGAGGCAGAAGAATGGTTACAAGGCAGAGGAGAGTGGAACTCTAGGGCGAAGGTTGAGCATGCGCAAAGGCGTTGAGGGTCAACATTTACCAAGTGCGGAGGGGCATCGTATCACTAATCTGCAGATGAGGGGACGGGTACAGAGAGCTCACAGACGTTCCTGAGGACACAGAGGCATGGGGGTGATGGAGGGGGCTGAGGTGAGAGGTCAGGGCTGGGTCAGTGTGCCTCTATGGGCCTGACTGGGCACTTGCCCTTGCCCTTAAAGACACCAGGGTCATCAGAGTTTTAGACAGAAGTGTCCCATGGTTGGATCTGATCAAGTGGCCATTTACTCGTTCAACAAACCATCTACTATGGGCTACTAAGGATGGGAGGATTGGAACCCACAGTCCTGGGATACAGCTGTGAGTGGAGTGGCGATGAATTCTGCCCTGGATTCCGGCAAAGCTAATGCTCTGGTTGGAGTGATGGGAGGCGAAAGTGTGAGCAAATAGGGAATATAATGTCCAGTCACAGTAGGCGCTCTGGGAGAAAAATATAGCTGGGGGGAGTGGGGGATGGAGCAGAGGAAGGGCTGTATGGGGTGTGCTGAGAGCCTGCAGCCCGCTGATGAGGTGGTATTTCAGCATCTGGGGTGAGTCATGCGGGTAGTTGTGGGGAGGGTTGGTTGGGGAAGTGACGCAGGTGGAGAGGGTCCTGTGGTGCCTTTTTGCTACTCTTGTGTTGGCTGCCTGGGCCTTCCTGGCTTGCACAGGCCTCCTGCACCTGCCAACCCAAGGCTTTGCCTGGGAGGACCTGCCACTGGCAGGAGGTGAGGGTTCTGCTGCCCACATGCTCACCTGCTCAGCCGTTGTTTGGTTCTTCTCCCTGCCCTGGCCACTCTTCCGAGATAACCCAGTTCCCGAGCCCCCACTCAGGTCTCCACCTCTTGTTTTTCGATGCCCACCAGGGCACTCACTGATCCCCTCTTCCACACAATGTCCAGACTGGGGCCCTCAAAATGTTCCCAGTAAGGCCCAGCACTGGTGACGTGTTACATCTTTGGGGACAACAGGCAAGAGTACAAGGGGACAAAGATGTAGGACAGTAGGTGAATGGCCTGTGATGTCTGGGCAGAACTCTGAGGGTGCCAGACCTTGGGTGGGAGGCGGCCTTATCCGGGGAGTGCCTTCTGCTGGCCTCACACATGGACTGACGCTTAGAAGGAACGTGGCTGCAAGCCAAGGAGAACCCGTAGCACCTCCAGTTTCTTGGAAATTGTGCATTTTTGCTGTTCTGTGCCTCAGTTTCCTCCTTCATGCAATGGGACTAATAACAATTCCTGTCTCCTGAGGCCAAGGAGATGATGTCCATGTTGCACACAGAAAGAGTCCTGCACAGTAGGCATTGTTCTTGACGACTGTCAGCCCTGGTGGCATTTGGTGCCAGGGTAGCATGCTGACTTGGGTCCTGCCCAGTCTCTCTGGCCTCACAGCTAGGATCTCACCCAGTCTCGTAGAAGTGGCTCTTTAACACTGGCTAAGCCAACCACCCCATGCCTCCTCTCCCTTTGTGGGGGCACTGGCTCCTGTAAGGGAGTACACAGGCTGGATGTTTCTGGGACACCCTCTCCACTCCGCCCACTAGCCCTGGGCCTAAAATGACCCTCCCCCAGAGGCGTTATTAATAGCTGGGCGGCTCAGATCACAGGGCAAGAATGTTACCCAGCAGCTCGTGGGGGAAGAGGAAGCCTCGGTGCCGCCGGCTGGGGTGGATGCGTGATGCCCGAGGCAATATGTGGGCCAGGCAGGAGGGCCTTCACCACCCCCACCCCCACCCCCATGCTGTCATTCGCTGCCCGTCCTCCTCCTCCTCCTCTGTGTCCTGCTCAGGTAAGGGCCGACTGGGTGTCCTGCTCCTCCGGCGGCTGGACTGGCTACTACTTCTCTTTTTCTGTCTCCCGCTTCCTGCTGTCCGTGGCCGCCATGGGCCCTGCAGCCTCTGAATAGCAGGGGCTCACCTCACGGGGGTCTCAGAGCTTGGGAGGACAACTCTTCGGCATCCTACCACGCCTCCTTTTCTCCTTAGGGCCTTGGTTGCCGTCGGACTCTGTCTGCCGTGGGCTGAGCCCAGCCCCAGTAGACTGGAGTCCCTGTCACACCCAGCTAAGCCTGCTCTCTTTGGGGGCATCTTTGCATTTTTAAAAATGAAAGAGAAAAGCCGATGGGTTGATTCTTCTTGGGCTGTATTTTCTTGCCCCCCGTTTTGGCATCCAGATGAAAACTATTTTTAGTGCCCAGTGATGGGGACATGAGTGGCTGGCCCATGCCAGGCTGGAGCAGGCAGAGTGGGCAGGTCTCGGCGGGGACAGTGGCCCTGTGGGGTGCTGTTTTCTCATCCTCCAACTCTCCCTCCCACTGCTCCCCGCTCCCTGAGCCAAAGGCTCTCGGGGAGCAGCCGAGGACCATGGGGAGCCTGGGAGCTGGAACTGGAGCTGACCCACTTGTCTCAGGGGCAGCTGTTCCCAGGTTTGATTCGGGGCTCTTTGAGTGGTTCTCATCTCCTGGGGCCTGGGCAGGAGGTGCCATCCCCCACCTTCGCTACCCTCCCGTTTGTCTTTCCAGGTGACTCGGAAGAGGAAGATATGGGACTCCTGGAGGTTGGTGTGACAGACTTCAAACCTCCAGCGCCAGAGCTGGGCCCCATGCCGGATGGCTTGAGTCCTCAGCAGGTCTGTGGGGGAGCGGGGGCACCCGCCAGCCTGCTGCCTGGGGCTATGCTAGTTAGAATCTGAGGGGAAGTGACTATGAAGGCGGGGTGGCTTTCGCAGGGAACTGGACTCCGTGTGTTCCATACAGGGTCTGGAGACGGTGAGGTCCGAGAATTTGGGATGCTTAAGACCCACTAGCTCTATGACTACCAGAGCAGGGGTGTCTCTTGGTCCCTCCCATGTGACTCTGGGGCTCCCCTTCTTCTCGCCTTTGGGATCCTTCATACATCAGGGACTGGCTCTGCTCCTTGGATCCCACATCCTGACTGTGCTCTTGGCCCGAGCAGGTGGTCCGGAGACACATCTTGGGCTCCATCGTGCAGAGTGAAGGCAGCTATGTGGAGTCATTGAAACGGATACTCCAGGTGAAGCTCCGGAGGACTCGGGGGGCCCGGGGACGAGAGCGGGAAGGGCTCTGGAGTCATTTTATAAAGAACACCGGGGGACTGTGGTAGTTTTACAGAGAAGGGGCTAAAAGCCATTCCTGCTTCCGAGGAACAACAGGACGTGTGGGGACGCCAGGGGTTTCCAAGGCCGCTGTCTGTAGTGAGAGCTGTATTCTGAAGTGAAACTGGGAATCTCTGAAATGGGAGCCAAGGCATGTGTTCCCTTTTGTGCCTGGAAGGGACTGTGTCTTCCTGGCCATTCAGATAGCCCTCAAAGCAAGGTTGCAGGGGGACGCCCCCTGTTCCTCACACTGGGGTGCCCAGTGACATGTATGTGGACCCTTGTCTGGTTTGGGTTTCCAAAACCTAGACTCCTCAGGGATGCTGGAATGGAGCTGCTGGTGTAGGAACAGTTTGGGACCCGTATGAAGGAGCCCAGGCATCAGACAAAGTGTCTGGAGAGTGTAGTTCTGACTTTGAGAGTTCAGGGAACTGTGGTGACCTGAGACCTTACCGCTCAGCCACACAGATGGCTCTGAGCTTCCCCCCTAGCCAGCCTTGGCCCTGAGCCACCTACCCAGAGTCCTCACACACAGATGGTGTAGAAGTGATCCTCTTGCTCCCAAGGCAGCTTAACACAGAAGTTCCTGGGTGGGAGGCGTTGTGGAGTGACAGACAGGGCAGAAATGTCACATTCAAGGAGAACCTTCTAGAAACATCCATGAATAAGGCAGGATGCTTTTGCCTGCATCAGGAAGGCCCCACTGGGCAGGGGGGTCTGCTCGGTTCTCAGCCTGCTTTGTCTTGGTGGCCTTGAAGATAGCTGGTCTCATTCTCGCTCCCACCCATCCTGGCAGGATTACCGTAACCCACTCATGGAGATGGAACCCAAGGCCCTGAGCGTCCGCAAGTGTCAGGTGGTCTTCTTCCGCGTTAAGGAGATTCTGCACTGTCACTCCATGTTCCAGATCGCCCTGTCCTCCCGTGTGGCCGAATGGGACTCCACTGAGAAGATTGGGGACCTCTTTGTGGCCTCAGTAGGTGTTTCTACTTAGATTAGCTGGTCCAACCTCTACCCTCACCTGGTTGCCTTGTCTAAGTCAATGATATCAGAGCCTCTGAGTCGTGTCCTGCTCTAGAGGTTGGGCATGACACCTTGATGTCCTGTAAGAGGTGTGCCAGGCCAAGACAATGTTGAAGCCAGGGTATAGTGGCAGCATTGCTCAGAGACCAGCCTCATGGGCAGCCCCGGACACGGTGTCGGTTCCTATCTAAGCATACCAGGTGTGATCAATGAGGCTTGCACATGCTGGCCCAGGGCTGCATTCATAGCTCCAGGATGAAGCCTCAGGATCTGGGGGAAGAGCCCTGGATCACGGTGCAGGGGTCGTGGTTCCAGTTTGGTTTCACAGCCTCAGACAGGTCTTGGGATGTCTCTGGGCTCAAATTCCACACCTGTGGAATGAGGAGTGTACTGGTGTCCTGCTTGTCAAACTGAAACCCTCAGATTTCAGAGAGGGAGTGAGTGAGAAATGGTCCAGCCAACTTTGCTGGGTTGTAAAGCCTCTGGGTTCCGCTAGTGGAAGGGATAGTCTGAGACTGACAGTGCTTGGGAGAGCTTAGATGTGACATCCCAGGTGGGTGTGCCTGGGGGGCCTATGGTGAGAGGTCGACATCTGTAGCTTAGCTGTGGGTGCATCTCCCCAGCGAGGGCTCGGGAACATTTCATTTCCTGGCCATGGTAAGGAAATAGATACCCAGGCAGCATCCCTGCCCTAGGCTGCCTTCTCTCTCCTGTGGGTTCTGAGTTGCTGTAGAAAAACTCTCTGTTTCCTGTCACCTCGAGACGATCTTCCCAGCTCTGAGACTCCTTCCCTGCGCAGGGTCTCAGAAGCATGGTAGGGTGGGTGCCGCTGCCTCCTCCACCATGGTGATGCAGCTCCTGCTCCTGTTTCTTACAGTTCTCCAAGTCCATGGTCCTAGATGTATACAGCGACTATGTGAACAACTTCACCAACGCCATGTCCATCATCAAGAAGGCCTGCCTCACCAAGCCAGCATTCCTCGAGTTCCTCAAGGTACCCTAGGGCCATGCAGTCGGCACTCACAAGGGACGGACGTGGGGAGGTGCCTCAGGAGAGAAGGGACATTGTCGTGCCAACTTTGGCGTCATGACTGTGGCGAGATTATCTAGGAACCCAGTCTCCAGGGAGATATCCCTTCTTGCCCTGAGAGGGAGGTGAGAAGGTTAAAGGGTCTGTGTAGTCAGCTCAGGATCCTGGAGCCCAATAGGGTGCAGGGCAAACCTGGCACACAGATGGATCTGTGGTAGGTACCACAGGGTTGGCCTGTGTTCCCATGGCCTGTGGCTTCCTTGTTTGTGAAGTGACATGGGCATCGCCAGGTCTTGGACTTTACCCAGGAGCAAAAAAGGTTCAAGACTTTGGGAAGCTACAGAACTCTTTAGCTGTGGCCAGGCCCCAAGATCCTCTGCGGTGGGGTGCTGTGGGTGAGGGACACAGCCCTGCATCCAAAAGAGGACACAGGGGGATGACACGTTGGGGCTATGGCAGGAGAGCTCTGCCCCACTGACGAAGACGTGGACCCGGGATGCTTTCTCAAGGGGGAACCATCTGATATGGGTCTTGGGGAAGACGGTTGAGGGCTGTTTCCAGAGAGAATACTGACAAGAGTAAGAGGCAGGAATGTGGGAGCAGGCAAGGCTGGAAGGATTCTGGGGGCATGGGTACCCCATAAAGAACGCTCCCTGGGGCAGTGTAGTTTAGTTTGGGCTCTTCTGGATCTTCAGGCCATGGATGAGATAAGAATATTTAAAGCATTGGGAGCCACGGAAGAGCTTTGAGCTGGGGCAGAAAACGTGGAAGCTGATGGGGAAGCCGTGAGGTTGCCAGGGGTATGGGCCAGGACCCACATGGCACGTGGGTGGAGTAAGCCAGCAGGTGTGAGGTGGGACAGGGAGACCCCCATGCTCACCCTCACCCTGGCCCAGGCCTCTGCTCTTAGTTTACACAGAGGGAATGGTAATGTTGGTTCCTTATAGACGGCAGTGAGGAAACTGTTGAATTGTTCGGTTTTGCCTCCAGTGGCTGTTCAGGTTCTACGAGGGTGTGGCTTACATAGGGTGTGCCATGGTGGGAGGGCCCCTGACTGTGGATTCCAGGTTGAACAGGGTCCTGGAGCCCAGGGAGAGGTTCCCAGGATGGGAACTAGGTCTGGACCCTGGCGCTGGACCCCTGCTGTGGAAGATTGACAAGTGACACGGCCTTGTCCCCACAGCGGCGGCAGGTATGCAGTGCGGACCGAGTCACCCTCTACGGGCTGATGGTGAAACCCGTTCAGAGATTTCCACAGTTCATCCTCCTGCTCCAGGTACTGCCTGGGACTCCCCAAGGGTCAGGGGAGGGCTGTGGGTAGGGGGGACCAGTGGATCTCATCTGTGGCCCACTCCTGTTTTGGGGCTTGCTTTATCTTTGTCGACTTCGAGAGGGCAGCCTGTTGTGCTCAGCAGCATTTAAAAAAGAAGATTCATTTTATTTAAATTATATATATATATGTATATATATGTATATGGATGTGTGTCTGTGTGTGGGCATGTGTAAGTGCATGCTGGTACATTGGAGGCCAGGGGCGTTGGATCCAATAGTGCTAGAATTACAGGCAGTTTTGGGTCATCTGATATGGATGTTGGGAAATTGAAATTGGGTCTTCTGCAAGAACTGGAAGCTCTCTTATTCACTGAGCCTTCTCTCTAACGTGTGTGTGTGTGTGTGTGTGTGTGTGTGTGTGTGTGTGTGTGTGTTCACAGTGTGTGGGTGTGTGTGCATGCGAGCACATGTGTGGGGCATGCCTTATTCGTGCTCTCTCTGGCCCTGGCAGGATATGCTGAAGAACACTCCTCGAGGCCACCCTGACAGACTGTCGCTGCAGCTAGCTCTCACGGAGCTGGAGACGCTGGCTGAGAAGCTGAATGAACAGAAGCGGCTGGCCGACCAGGTGGCAGAGATCCAGCAGCTGACCAAGAGTGTCAGTGACCGCAGCAGCCTCAACAAGGTGGGTGTGCGCCTAGCCCTTGGGTCCCCCTGCGCATCGTGGCCTCACCTGCCTCACCTGCTGCTTCTGCAGCTTTCCTGGGGTCATTTACTAGGTGGCAATGTTCTCTGAGGGAGGGGAGCCTGATCCACTGGATCATTGTGATTCATGTTATTTTAGGACAAAAGAAAGTTTTGTTCATTCGTCTAACTACCAGGACAGAGTTTTGTTCATTAGTCTAATTAACCAGAGACTGTACACTAGTATCATAGTTAAGTGAATGGATTCCGAAATCTCCATCTAAATCAGATTTATTTTATTTTATTTTTTTTTTTTTTGAGACAGAGTCTCATGTATCCCAGGCTGCCTTCAAACTCACTCTGTAGCTGAGGAGGATTTTGAAATTCTGATCCTCCTGCCTCTACTTCCCCATGATGGGATTACATGCATGTACCTCCATGCCCAGTTTATGCATGTTGGGGATTGAACCTAGGATTTTAGGCATGTTAGTCAAGTGCTCTATCCACTGAACTACACCCTCCCCCCCCCCCCCCCCCCCCCCCCCCCCCCCCCCCCCCAGCCTCAGTGCAAGTTTTTAGCCAGTGTGCTGGTGAACACCTGTGATTCTGGTGCTTGGGAGATAGAGGCAGAGAGAGAGCAAGAGTTTCAGGTCAGCCGGGGCGCAGAGGGAGTTCTAGGGCAGCCAGACATACGTACAGAAGAGAAGACTGTACTCCAGGTGCTGGAGGCTGCAGGCTCTCTGCTTTCCTGGCACGTGTGGAGTGTGAGTCCCTCACTGCCCCGCACAGGCCAGCAGATCCTACATCTGCCCTCATGCTCACTGGTGGGAGGGTGGAGGTGGAAAGGGATGGTCTGCAAGTGAGGTGACCTTGCCAGGGCTTACGAGATGGTTGTTTCCAGAGAGGCCACATGGTGTGAGGTCACAGGAAGTGTTCGATGTTCTGGGGAGTCCCAACACACAGCTGAGGCTAGCGGCTGGCTCTTCCTGGAAGGAGATTTCAGCAGTGTGGAGAGAATGTCCACTGTCCAGGAGGGTGGCCTGGGAGACAGCAGTGTGGAGAACTCTCAGCTGGGACTGCTGGCTTTGACTTTTGTTGTTGACCTTCGCCAGGTCATGGAATCAGGCTGGGCTGGGTCACCTGAGGTCCTGAAGTCCTGAGCGTCAGGCACTCCCATAGCTGCCCTGCCCTGGCCACAGGCAGGCTGCAGGCCTATTTGGGCCCACATTGTTCTTTTAAGAAAGTGGAAGTCATTGGCAGCATTTAAAAATTGGGACATGCCATAGACCTCAGATTCGAGGAACTTTCCCTGAGGGCTGGAGAGCTGGTGCAGCAGCTGCCTGTGTGGTTCCCTTCACCTGAGAGCGGTTGCCCACTTCCGTTTGATCTTACTGTCGCTCCTCACTGAGGGCACGTGCTGGCTTGAAGGCGTCTGGTTTGCTTCACCTGTCTGGGAGCCGGGGATTTGGGGTGTGTGGCAAGAAGAAAGGGGAACAGGGCCTTCCCCTGGGGGGAGCGTCCCATTCAGGACTGCCCAGGGTGGCTCCTCCAGGGACCATCTCCCGCCCCTCTGGACAGTACAGACTCCCCCATGCCCCAAGCCTGCCATTTAGTTCCCTGTGCTGGCCTTTGTGTTGGAGAGGTTTCTTCCAGCAGCTGATGGAGCCTGGCAGGCCAGAGAAGTCTGTTGGTCCTGCCCTGGAAAGAGCTGTGTGTCCTCTTCCACTGCCCGTCCCCACCCCCACCCCAACACCCAGATGTAGCAGGAGGAGGAGGTCAGCCAGACCCATTTGCTATCAGGCTAGAGGATGGATGATCTGAGCCTCAGTTTCCCCCTCGACTGAGTAAAGGGTGAGCTGGGCAGGTGTGGATGCTAATGTGGAGAGGGTGCCAGCTGCACACCGTGGGGTCCCCCCTCCTCGCCCCGTCCAGGGGACTCTTTGGACAATCTGGAGCAGTTGAGGATCGCATCAGTGGTCGTTCTCTGGCCATCACCCGGAGAGAAGGGGAAATGAAACTGGGAGGGGCAGGAACAGACCCATGAGCTGTTTTTAAACAGCCGACTCAGGAGCCTCCAGAGGGGTGCTGGTGTGATGGTTTTCCTTTTCCTCTTTAATCTGCATAAGGGACCAGGCCTACGGCCTGAAGCCCAAGGGACTTTCCTCTCCCCAGTGTCGGTCCTGGCAACCACGGCCTGCTGCCTGACGCGTTGTCTTGAGCTGGGTCCGCCTTGCTTACGGACCCTGTGGAGAAGTGGGGCCGCAGCAATGGCGGGGCCTCCAGCGACCTTGGGGCTTCTGTAAGGTGGGAACAGAGAGACTCCTGTTGAGCCAGGCGCTGCCACACAATGCAGGGAGACAAAGCAGCGGGGGGTCATCCTGTGTGGGGGCCGTGGGGGGCCCTGTGGGTACTGCACACCTCGGAAGCTGTTTCTGTACCTCAGGGCTGCTGAGCTGATACACGCGGAGTGCTTCTGAGTCCCACAGTGCCTGCCACCCAGCAATGCCCATGCCACCAGGACCTGAGTTTGTGCGTTCACTTGAGGGGTGCTCTGAGAAGCCGGGTCCTCTTTAAGGGACGCCAGCAGGGAGAGGTTGGGATCAAGACTGCCAGAGTCACACTATTCAGTAACAGATTTCACTGGATCCTCCACTTAAAAAAACCCCAGAAGGAAAGTCATTTCTCAGAGGGATTTTGGATGGGGGCCCCTGTGAAGTGGGGTGAGCTTGGTCAGGTGCTTGGGGTCTGAGAGTCTTTGGTCTCCCGAGAATAGGCATTGATGACCAGCAGATCTATTTCCATCCCCTCACAAGGCTGTGCAAGGGATGATGTGGGCTGATGCGGGTCAACAGTTCATGGTGAAGCCGTGGGGCTCCTTCCAGGTCAGGTGTCCCCAGAAAGTTAAGTCTCTCTGTGACAAAGATGGTCTTAAACAGCGACACTGAAACAGGGTCCGCTGTGGGCACCCACTGCACATCTAATGCAGGGCATCCTGTGCTCTCCCAGGGCCCCCGGGCCTGTTTAATGTGCTCTGCTGCGGCCTTGAAATTCAGGCTGACCTTTGAACCCGTGTTTGCCTGGCGTAGTGGCTTTGTGTATTACTTGACTCGGTGATACCATGTTCATTACTCGGGTTATCTGAGCAGTGGAGATACTGAGGGAATTGAGGTTTCCAACTGAAGTGTCCTGTGACTGCCCAACCGGGGCATGTAGGAGCTGCTCAGAGACAGTGTCTGTTTGGTGAAGGTCATTACGGGATCACGATACATGGGGATGATGGCAGAAGCCAGCTCACCTGGAAAAGAGGCTACTGGGCTCTGCTCTGGCCAGGGAGGCTAGGCAGGTTCCCCAGGGTCTCCCCAAATTAGAGAACCCAATGTGTGTGCCCTGGTCTTCCCTGTCTAGTGTATCTTGTTGTCTAGTGACAGGTGTTGGCTCTGGGTCCTCCTCTACCTCTCCCAGCTGCCCCCTTAGTTTCTCTACAGAGTCTACCGAGTCTCTGGCCAAGGCTATCCTCAAATTCCTGCTGTTTTTGAGAAGTCTCACTGCATAGTCCAGGCTGGCCTGAACCTCATGGTCCCACCCCCACCCCTGAGTGCTGGGGTTGCTGTAGGCTTACATTACCACGCAGAGTCTTGGTCTATTTTCGGGAAGGTGGGAGAGGTTCTGAACCTCTGGCCTGGCTGTCTGCGAAGCACCCTAGATCGTGACCCTAGATCGTGACCTTCTCTGTTCCTTCCTTCTGCAGCTGTTGACCTCTGGCCAGCGGCAGCTGCTTCTGTGTGAGACCCTGACGGAGACGGTGTACGGAGACCGTGGGCAGCTGATCAAGTCCAAGGAACGCAGGGTCTTCCTGCTCAACGACATGCTGGTCTGTGCCAACATCAACTTCAAGTAAGAGCCTGGAGTGGGGTGGGGCACCCCCTTCCCAGAGGATCCTTGTTGTCTCCCCTCCCCCCAGCCTCGGCGCCACGGTCCTTCTGTAGCCCTGATGAGGTCTCAGATACTTGGCCTTCCTCGAATCTCCCTCGTGTCCTGCTTTGTCCTTGGCCCCTAATGCCAGAGGGATTTGGACTAATCAGGGCATCCTCTGACCCTAGACTCATCATCATTCACAGCCTAGGCCACGTGCTACAAGACTCTGATCTTAGTAGCTGAGCCTGCAACCTTGAAGTTGAAGAGGGTTTTCCTTGTGTCTACCCCAGACCCCTGTTGCTTTAGCTCACATGGGGTTCCTATATCTCAGAGCTGCTTGAACTCCCCACCCCAACCCTTCCCCCCGAGAGTAGTTTCTGCCTGTAGGAACATGGTTTCCAGCTCATGGGAGGCTGTAGAACCCAGAACTGGGCTGTGGGCTTAGCCTGAGATAGCAGGAACTGGGCTGGTGGGAGGAAGGTGGTCTGTGGCTGTGTTAAGCTGCCAGGACCTCACATTTGGCTAGCACAGGAATCCACACAAATGTCAAGACCTTTGGCTTCACTCGACTGTTTGGGTGATGTAATATATGGGGCCACATTGCCTCAGGCCATGAGAGCTAGGATCTGGGACCTGTGCTCTGCAATCCTCCTGACCTCACCCAGCAGGGCGACTCGCAGGTGTCCCTTGTGTGGCCCTGTAGGTCTAGGGGATGGAGACTATTTTCTGTGTACTCCTAGAATTCATGCTGTGACCTTTGCAGCAGGATCCTGGGAGAATCCTTTAAGAGCCTGGGACACAGCCTGGTGCAGCTGTTAGAGCCAGGCCTGGAAATGGCCAGTGACTACTGTCAACCCAGGCTAGGTCTCCCACCTCCCAGCTTGGGTACTCACAGTGTCATGTGTGTGTGTGTGTGTGTGTGTGTGTGTGTGTGTGCATGTGTGTACGTGTATATCTCTCATCTGTGTGTGTGTGCATGTGTGTGTGTGTGTGCATGTGTGTAGGTGTTTATCTCTCATCTGTGTGTGTGTGTGTGTGTGTGCATGTGTGTACGTGTGTATCTCTCATCTGTGTGTGTGTGTGCATGTGTGTGTGTGCGTGTATGTGTGTATGTGTGTGTGTGTGTGTGCCCAGAGTCTTGTTTACACTCTGCACCCAGCATTGGCTTGTGCATTTCTGTTCACGGCCACAGAGTGGAAACCTTGTGGCTGCAGATCTGGGGTCCTGAGGGGAGAAATCAGGGCTGCAGGCTCATCCACCCACTGTCGCCCTGTTCTTCCATCTGCTCACCCGTCAGCGTAGATGGAGCCTGCTCTGTGCTGCTTCCCTGCTTCCGGCCTGCTGGGAGACTTGGCAAGGAAGCCTCTGCCAGAGCTGATGTGGGCGCTCACTCACCCATTCACCCACTCATTCATTCATTCATTCATCTCCAAGTGCTTTGAATCTTTCTAAAAACTGTCTTTAACATGGTGTGTGTGTGTATGTGTGTGTGTGTGTGTGTGTGTGTGTGTGTGTGTGTGTGTGTCTGTGAGAGAGAGCATGTGTAGGTCGGAGTAGAACTTGGGGAGTCAGTTTTTAGTCCTCTCACTGTTTGGATCTTGGGGATCGAACTCAGATCATCAGGCTTGGTGGCAAGTACCTTTATCCACTGAGCCATCTTGCCAATCCTGAGTACTGTGAATCTTAAGTCCCACTATGTCTAGACATCCAGCAGGGCCAGGACCAGACCACTGCCCTTCTCAGCCTTATGTTGTTCAGGGTTGAGCACGTGTGAAGAGTGGGGTGCTAGCGCTCAAGTTTAGGGACACCAGTTTGCAAATTTGGCTGAGTCACTTAACTCTGCTGAGTACCCGTCTCCTGTTTTGGGATCCTGAAGCCATGGGGAGGTGGCTGTAAGAATCAGAGGGGACGGCTTTCTGTGTGGTTCCCCTCTGTTCACACCGGGCCTAGGTGGCCATGCCTCCACGCTGCCTAGGCCAGTGGCCAGCCTCCAGAATTCCCAGCCCCACGGGAATGTGCCGTCCAATAACACCTATCCTTCTTGTCTTTTCTCCAGGCCCTCCAATCACAGGTAGGTAGCTTGTGGCTTGGGGACTCAGGCATGTGACTCTGGTTCTGGGCCTGGGCTTCCTGGTGCAATGGCTTGGTGTGAGTTCCTTGCACTGCGTGGCCTGGCTTGGTTTGGGCCTGAGGTCCCATGCTTGGGCTGTCTGGAGCCTGGCTAAGCGGAGGTGCTGGGAGTTGGAGTTGCGCTGCCTCTGGGCTGGGCTGCAGCAGGCTTTTCAGCGCTCTTCTTCTGTCCTGCAGGGGCCAGCTAGAGATCAGCAGCCTGGTGCCTCTGGGGCCCAAGTACGTGGTGAAGTGGAACACAGCGCTGCCCCAGGTGCAGGTCGTGGAAGTGGGTCAGGACGGCGGTGCCTACGACAAGGACAACCTGCTCATCCAGCACGCTGGCGCCAAGAAGGCCACGGCTGCAGGGCAGGCCCAGAGTGAGTACTGCCCGGCTGCTGCCCCTCACCTGCTAAGTGTCTAACCTGGGCCAGGGACCAGCTGGTGGGGGCGGGGCCTAGAGAGTCTTGCTGTTGTACCCAAGTGCAGATCTGTGGCTTCAGTGGCACATGGTGTCCCTGTGGTCTCATTCCCCACCCAGTGCTAGACTGCCTCACGCACAGCTCACACAGCGACAGGGAGAGGCCACGTGTGAACTGACTCGGAGCTGTCTCCGGTGAGACCTTGGACAGGTGCCTTCTGTTTGTACCTAGTGTGCCTCTTGGTACATTGAGGAACTAGGGGTACTCATCTTACCCCCTGATCTCCAGGGGTGCTAGAGAACTCAGGTCTGTCTGTCTGTCCCCTCCTGGGCCCATGTCTCTCCGTTTTGACCCAAGTTCTCAGACTCTGTTGGAAGACAGGGGGACAACTTAGAAGCCAGAGCCTCCTGCCTGGTAGCGTCTCCCTGTCTGCTCTCTGCCTGCTCACTGGCCACCACCACTGTGCATCTGGACCACTGCACATCTGGACCACTGCAGTGGCCTCTGGCTGCTTTTGTCCTTTGTCCCCTTAACCCCCTGCACCTTCCCCAGAGCTTAGCTCAAATGTAGTTAGTATATGTAGGTAGTGTAGTATGCCACGACCTCCTCAGAGTTCTTCTGAGGAGGGGACATCTGCCTGCCTCCTCCCTCCCTCCTGGCCTCTGATGGGGCTCCTTGGCCTCTCTGGGGTTCTCCCTGGGGAGTGTACTCCTTTTGGCTGCAGGGTCTTCCCCACTCTGTGCCTTTCTTGCCATCTGTGTCAAGGATTCCCTTCTTCCTCTTCCCCATGCCCGTCTCTCTGATGGCCTGAGCTTGGGCCAGAGCCTTGTTCTGGGCTCTTCAGGCCTCAGGCTGAGTTTTCTGAGGTTGCTGCATTCCTCACGGTGGGGAGGGTGTGATGGTAGGTGTGGGAAGGAACCAGTCACATTGCATTCCTAGTCTGGAAGCAAGGAGAGGTGAATGCTGGTGCTCAGTTCGCTTTCTCCTTTTTATTCAGTCCAGGGCCCCAGCCCATGGGACAGTGCTGCCCACATTCATTCAGAGTGGGTCTTCCCACTGCAGTAAACATAATCTGGAAACTCCTCACAAAGCTCGGAGGTGTGTCTCCTAGGCGATTCTAGAGCCTGTCAAGTTGGCAGTACTCGCCAGCGTGACTGACCATTGGTTGTGTGGAACCTTGGTTTCAGCCAGGGCCTGAGGCCCAGAGATACTAAGCCGCAGGCCTGGCAGAGTATGGAGTACTGCGCACAGTACCTTCCATGAACAAAAGGAACTGGAGTTTCGCTTCCCCTCCCCACCACCACCCTGCCCACAGCCCTGCCTGGGTGCTTGCCTCACTGGCTCCCGAAACTCCGGAAATTTTGAGGCTTGATTGCGACAGCTGTTCTGGCCCACTGTGGATGAGGCGGGAGAGGGGGGTGGCCCCTCTTGGGTGCCTTCACCCCCATTCGACTCTCTTCTTCTTGCCCACCCCCAGGCTGTGGCTCTGGGAACCCTGTGTCCCCGACTCTGTCCCCCTGCAGCCATGGTCCCCAAGCCTGACCCCCTTGAAAGGAGAGAAGCTCTGTAGATTCTTGGTTGACCTTAGATAATTGTTTATTATATTATTATGCAAATATGGACACACAGAAAGCTCCTTGCATTTAACACATGTGCTTTTAGCCCTTGAACAACAGTGAAACCCAAACAAAACACAAACTGGATAAAAACAACACTATAGAACAATAAATACAATTCCCACCCGCAGTATTAATTTGCTGTGACAGGTGACATTTTGTTTTGTTGAACCCAGACTGCTCACAGGATAGGTGCAGCATGCTTTCCCGTGAGTGGGTTCCCTGCCCCCAACCTGCGGGGTGACTTATGTGGAGCCCCGTCTTCCCACCAGCGTCCATCCTTTGGGCATTTTCTTTCTGTCAGTGCGTCATTACCATACCGTGTGCCCCTGCTCTTTGCTGGCTCCCCATGGACCTTTATGCAGTTCCACTCAGCCCCTGGATCCTCAAAAGCCCTGACCCCATGCAGCAGAATATGATATTAAAGTCACAATATCCAGGGGGCGTGGAATGACCCAGAAAGAGGCCTCAGCAACCTTACGTAGCCCGAGAAACCACGGCCTAGCGTGTGCCATCCTGTTCCCAAGGTGACACCCAAAGACTTCTCTGCACTGTCTTGCCCATCACTCACGGTGTCTCTTGTACCCACCCAGCTTCTGTATTTGTATCACCACTGGAGCTCCAGGCCTATTCAGTGCCCACCATTGGCTCGTCACACTGGTACCTTTCTTCCAAGTGTTTTCTACCGTCTGGCTAATCCCCTCCCCTCCCCTGCTCTCTGCCCATCTCCCTGGGTCCTAAGTCCCATAAGAGCAGGTCCACCATATATCATTGAGCAGTTTGCTTTTTGCGGGCTGCTATACATCTCAGGAGCTTTGCACACGCTCTTCTCTGGCTTGGCCATACCCGTCACATTCTGGCCTGCGGTAGGCTCCTCGGTTCTCCAACATGGCTGATTTAGTCTTATGGTCCTTGTGAGCCTCACTCAGGACGACTGTGTCACCGTCCCAGGTGTGACACCTTCCTTCTGCTGGGACCTCCCTCCCTGGTCGTGTCTCCTCCAAGTTGCCAGTGCCTCTTCTCTATGGACATGGCTTACTTTTCCCTGTCGGCAGATGCTTACCTCCCCCAGCCCCAAGGCTGAGTCCGGTGTCTTCTCTACCAGACAAGGTGTACCTGGGCCCGCCGCGCCTCTTCCAGGAGCTACAGGACCTGCAGAAGGACTTGGCAGTGGTGGAGCAGATCACCCTGCTTGTCAGCACCCTGCATGGCACTTACCAGGTGGGTGTGGCCCCGGGGGTGGCGAGGGGGCATCCCAGCATGGTGCTCCCGTGTGCCCTGGCTCTGAGCAGGGAGCAGTGGTAAAGGCTGGGATCCCCTGGCTTCTCAGAACATCTGGCTTTATGCAACAGCTGGAGGTCTTACAGATCCTCCCTAGCCTCTGCCCCAGGCTGCAGAGCATCCGGTTAGGAGGGTGTCCCTTTTGGAGGAAGCAATAGCCGGGTGGGCTCTCATCCAGGGCTGGGAAGTCCCAAGTACAGGTGGGATTGCCTCCTGCGTGGCTAAATTATCCCATTGTGCTGGGTGCTGTCACTGTGGTAGGACTTGTGTGGTTTGGGGGGAGCCAGGAGATGGTGGTGACCCCTTTCCTCCCCAACACTAGAATCTGAACACAACTGTGGCCCAAGACTGGTGCCTGGCCCTGCAGCGGCTGATGCGAGTGAAGGAGGAGGAGATCCACTCTGCCAACAAGTGCCGCCTGAGGCTACTGCTGCCCGGGAAGCCTGACAAGTGAGAGGGTGTCTGGGAGGGAGGGGGTGCTGTGATGAGAGAGTCCACACCCACTGTGGACCAGGCCCCGCCTAGCACCTGGCACACAGTCGCTACTCAGCAAGGAACGCAGGAATGCATGGAGGTCTTGCTGACACCCCGGGTCAGCTTGGCTCTCTGTTGGCTGACTCAGACACTCAGTCTCCAGTGAGCTCATTGTGTCTTACCTTCTTCCCTCTCCTCAGCCCATGGCCTCCCAGATCCTCTTCATAGACCCAGCCTCCCCAGTTCAAGGTCCTCTGCTCACAAGATTCACCACAGGAGCGGTGGGACACCCCCACTCCCCACACACACCCCCGTGTAGAAGCAGTCCTGAGGCAGTGACTGACAGGGAAAGGAGTCCAGTTGCCCCTCTTCCAGATCTGCAGGGTGTGCCTCAGTATCCCCACTTTATGAACAAGGAAGTGAGACCAGAGGGACAGGGACAGGCTCAGAACCCCTGGGCTTTGCTTGTGGAAGGAGGTGGGGTCTGTGCAGTGGGAGTCCTGGGCAGGGGAGTGCTCGCTGCTCGGGGGTGGGCCTCTGGGTGGGGGAAGATGGAGCCTGGCATCAGTTGCAGGGGTGCGAGAAGAGAGAGCAGTGTCCTTGTGTCTGAGTGTGGGAGTCTGCAGCTTGAGCTCCAACCCTGCTCCTGACTCCTCTCTCTGCCCAGCACCCTAGAGAGTGAGAGACACAGCCCTGCCCACCTCCCGGGGGGCCTGGGTTACTCACAGGACTCTGAAGGGGCCCTGGCCCTAAAGGCCACCTCCGATCATCTTCTCCGTCTCTCTCTTCTCCTTACCCCCTTCCCTTCCATCCATCCTCCCATCTTTCTTTCTCCTCTTATCATCACTCCCTCCCTTCCTCTCTCCCTCCCTCCCTCCCTCCTTCTCCTCTCCCTCCCTCCTATCTTCTCCCCCCCCCCTCTCCTCTTCTCTTTACTGTGTATACGTCCACTCTGTAACCATCTTCGGAGTGACTGCCCGTGTCAGGTGCTGGGGATAGACAGTGTGAGGTCCTTTCCTCCATGATGAGGCCCACAGAATTCTGGCAGGTAGTGATGCCAGGACCTTAGCTGGGCATAAAGCCAGGGCTGTTGGAGGTCTGGGACTGGGCTGCCAAGAATGGCTTAGCATCTCTAGCCAGGTGCCTCTTGATCATCACAGACGGTGGAAGGAGGTCTCCCCAAGGGGGTGGATCTTGGCCAGGCCAAGGCCTCCCTCCATCTCCAGGAACATGGGTTGGAAAAGAGCCAAGGCCTTCCAAGTCCTTCTGGGGAGCTGAGCCTCTGTACCAGTCACTCATGGGGGTCCTGCCTCATCTCGCCCTCCACAGGTCTGGCCGTCCCATCAGCTTCATGGTGGTCTTCATCACACCGAACCCCCTGAGCAAGATTTCCTGGGTCAACAGGTTACACCTGGCGAAGATTGGCCTCAGTGAGTACAGCCCAGGGCAGGTGTAGGGAGGGAGATGGAGAGTATGAACCCAAGGTGAGGCAGGAGCATTTCCCAGTGGGAGAGGGGTGAAGCCATGCAGAAATGCCTGGAGCCCAGTTCTGAACCTTGGACCTGTCTGTCACTTTCTCTCTGTACCTCCTCTCTGAGTTGTTGGAACTTGACACAGCGAATTAGCAGCTACCAGGGCCCCGGTGAGGGAGGGGATGCTTAGGGAGTGAGTGCCGAGTCTTCCTGGTGCACAGAGGTAATGGCTGCCAGCCTGCTAACCAGATACTGTGGAAAGTACACACTGGTAGTACTTAACTGCCACGGAAGTACGGGAAAATAAACAAGTAAATACCAGGTTGGAGTCAGCTGATCTTAGCCAATGGCCTCCTTACTGCCCAACATGGTGGCATATGCAATAATCCTAGCACTTGGAAGGCTGAGGCAGGAGGATTTGGGGTCCAAGGCCAGTCTTAGCTGCAGAGCAAGGCTGAGACCAGTTTGGGTTACATGAGACCCTGGACTCAAAAAACTCAAATAAACCAAAAATAAAACCAAACTCTCCTTATGGCTGTTTCCCCTAGGCACCTGTTAGTACTAACAGAGGTAAGTAAATGGGTCTTTATGGAATGCTTCTGATGTAGCACACACTTGCAAAATCCCACACACGCCCTTGTTCACAAGCTCCCTGTGGTAGGTCTGTTGAGACCTTTTTCATTGAGGACTCAGGCCCAGGGCGGTGCAGTGACTTTTGTGAAACTGCATAGCAGGAAGGGGTAGAATTAGGATTCAGACACGGGGCATTGTGCCCCTGGAACCTAGGCCACCACCCTGTCCCTCTGCCCCATCCCCACCACATTCACATGCACCGGGTTGTAATGACTTCATCTGTTTGTTTTGTGACTTGGAGTCTTAGACGGTCAGAAGTGCTGTACGATAGAAATCCAGCTGATACTGGGACCATTTCTTTACCTTTATTGTGTATGTGATGTTTTTATAGATGTTACTTATTAATCTTTGTTTTATATGTGGGTGTTTTGCCTGCATGTATGACTGTGCACCCCATGCATGCATGCAGGGTCCTCAGAGGTCAGAAAAAGTTACCGGATCCCCTGGAACTGTAGTTATAGATGGTTGTGAGCCACCATGTTAGTGCTGGGAATCAAACCCAGGTCCTCTGGAAGAGCAGCTGGTGCTCTTAACCACTGAGCCATCTGTCCAGCCCTTCCAATAGGTTTAGAAAACATTTCTGAATCAGGAGCCAGGGCCTTTGTCACCCGGCTTTCATTCATTAAAAAAACCTTATTCATTCATTTGTTTCATTATAGGGTTTTTTTTTTTTTTTTTTGGAGACAGGTTATTTCTGTGTAGCCCTGGCTGCTGGCTGTCCTAGAGCTCACTTTGTAGATGAGGCTGGCCTCGAACTCAGAGATCTGCCTGTCTCTGCCTCCCTAGTACTGGGATTAAAGGCATGCACCACCACCACCTGGCATCATTACAGTAATTTGTGTGTGTGTGTGTGTGTGTGTGTGTGTGTGTGTGTGTGTGTGTGTGTGTGCATTCGTGTAGAGGCCAGAGGCCAGCCTAAGATGTTGCTCCCCAGGCACCGTCTACTTTAAAAATAAAACTGTGTGAGTGTTTGCATAGATGTCTGTGCACCACTTGTATGCCGTGTGCTTGCACAGGTCGAAGAAGATGTGGAATCTCCTGGAACTGGCAGTAGTTGTGGTTGTGAGCGATCATGTGGGTGCTGGGAACTGAATCTGGGGGCCTCTGGAAAAGCAGGCAGTGCTCTTCACCACTGAGCCACCTCACCAGCTCCCACTTTTTTTCTGGGGCTCACTGACTGAGCTAGGCTGGGTGGTCAGCAAACCCAGGGATCTCTCTGCCTCTTTCTCTTCAGTTCTGCAATTGCAAGTGCAGGGACCGTTCCCAGCTTGTTTGTTAGTTTTGCACAACGAACTCACAGAGATCCACTTGCCTCTGCCTCCCAAGTGCTGGGATTAAAGGCCTGTGCCGTCACACCGTTTTCCAGCTTTTTTTTTTTTTTTAATGTGACTTTGGGCCCTTGTGCTTAGGAGGCAGGTGCTTTACCTAGTGAGCCATCCTCTGGTAATTTTAGACATAAAGAGCCCTGTCAAAACTCAAAGAGCAAAGCTTTCTGCTCTCGAGGAACTTGAACTTGAGATGGACAGGTGGACATTAAGTGAGGTGCTGGGCGGTGAAGTAGGGCCGTGTGGCTGTCACTGAATGTGAGGGCTGCGTCAGGGAGAAGCTGCCGTGGGAAGATCTGGGCCGAGTGATCCAGGCATGTGACTCACAAGTGTGCAGGTCCTGGGGCAGCAGCAGCAGGTGGTTCCCAGTGGCCAGAGCGGGCGGGGGTGGGGGTGGGGGAGTCAAAGAAGTAGGTGGTTGAATCGGAGGGCAATGGTGCTCTGCAGAGCAGGGGTGAGGCTTGCAGGGTGTGCGGGAAAGATGCAGGGTGTGTGGGAAGAGGCACACGTTCTGGATGTGTTCCAAAGGTGTTCACTGAAATGTGGGAACCTGTGATATCACAGTTGGGGTTCCATCCAAGGGAGCCGTTCTGCTGCTGTGCAGAGGGCCTTGGAGGAGCAGGTGCAGGGGGGGAGGGGGAGGGGTGTGTGGCTCTGGAGGAGCTGTCCCAGCAGTGTCTGCTTGGTCAGTGTCCTGGGTCTGGGGCTGGTGTAGCTTAGAACTTGGCCTTGTCACTGGGAGGCTGCAGAGGGTGGAGGGAGGGTTTTGAGAGCTGCCGCATCCCTGACAGAGGACTTGGAGATCTGGGCCTTGGAAGGGCTGGGAGTGCCTGCACTGGGTCCTGGAGGTGGGTACATGCTGCCTTCCCTATTATACATGACTTCAATGTTAGGCGGATGCTAAAACTCAGTGTGAGCCCTTCCTCCTTCCCTGCCTCCCTGCCTCCTGCTCTCCTGTCCCCCTGTCTCCCCCCAGCTCCCTGCCCCCCACTCCCTGTTTCCTGCCCTCTTGCCCCCCTTTCCCCTCCTCCACCTCCTCCCTGCCCCTGCCGCCTGCCCTCCTGCCTCCCTAGGGGGCCTTCTGCCTCTTTGCTCCCCATCCCCCTTCCTTCCCTTTTACTTCCCCCTTCCCTCCTCCTTCCCCTCTTCCTTTCCTTCTGCTGTCAGTGGGGAACTAGGGAACTAGGGCACCACACACCCTCAGTACTCCTTTTACTTCTATTGGGAGGCAGGCCCTCCTTGAGCTGAATTTACTCTGTAACCCAGGCGGGCTTTGAACTTACCATCCTTCCAAGTCAGCTTCCCAAGTGCCTGGGACACAAGCCGGAGCTCCTGGGCTAGGTGTTCCAGGAAAATGGACTTCCTGTTTGAACCCTGACTCTTTGTGGAGCTGGACTGGTGCGCTGGGCCTGGCGCTGACTGAGGCAGGTGCCTGGGCAGCCTGTGGGCCGCCACCTTGTCTCCACAGGGCTTCACTTCAGCAGCCTTAATAGGAGAGTCATTTGAAATTATATCTGAATGCCGGGGTCTCCTGGGGCTTGAATAGTTTATTCTTTTCATTTTGCTGCGTTTGTTCTTCATCTCTGTGTGTGTGTGTGTGTGTGTGTGTGTGTGTGTGTGTGTGTGTGTATGTGTGTGTGTGTGTAGGTATGAAAGGAACGGGACCATGTTAAAGATGTGGCACTCCTTTATCATATTTAATTTTCTTCTGCGTACCATGAGCTAGGATGGTAATCCTCTGAAGACTGAGAAAGGAGAGGGACAGGAGAGCCTTTGGTCAGCATTACCCTGTGGTCCTGGGGAAGGCCTTTTTCCCGAGCCCCAGTTTTCCCACTCTTGACCAGACTAGATCTCTAAGGGTCCTTGCTTATTGGACGTAGGGTCTCAGGTGCCCTGGAAGGTTCAGAAGGTGACCAGGGACAGGCCTTACACCATTTGATCTGAAGCCAGATGGTCCTGTTTGGTTCATAGTTCCAAGGCTTCTAGGCTGGGCTGTCCTGTAAGCTGTTCAGTTTCCAGCTCTGGGGGAATCAAAGAGCAGGGACCACGCAGGTGCTTCAGTGACAGGGTTCTGGTGAGAGTGCGTGGGCTGTGGGGGCCAGCCCTGCATCTGCAAGTTAGAGCCTCACACGATAATGCAGAGCCGGGTCAAGTCTCTTCCCATAGATCATAGCTGCTAGCCTCCATTCATAAAGGCTTGGTAGATGGGTGCACAGGGAAGGCTCCAGAGAAGGAAGAGAAAGCCAGGGCTCTCAGGGTTCTGCTGCACCCCGGCTCTCAAGGCTCTACTCCTCTGACCCTCATATCCCCAGGCCCCAGAGCCGCTCCCACTGACAACTCTCCAGAGAGGGTCTGGGTGTAGCAGGTCCTACCCACACCCACACTTACAGAAGCGTCAGAGGCTTGGGCCAGGCATCTCCATGCCACCTGCCAGCCTCCCTGTCTCTCATCTCTGGTCTAGTCTTCCAGTCCCCTGTCTTCTCAACTACCCAGCACTGATGTTTACCTCCTCCTGAGCGTAGCCTGGGAAGCCTCGGTACTGTGTCCTAAACCTAATCTCCATTAACCCTGCAAATCATCCCAGGGCTGGGACCCCTAAGCCAGTGGTTCTCAACCTTCCTAGTGCTGCGACCCTTTAATACAGTTCCTCATGTTGTGGTGACCCCCAACCATAAAATTATTTTCCATTGCTACTTCATAACTGTAGTTTTGCTACTGTTATGAATTGTAAGTATCTGTGTTTTCTGACGGGTCTTAGTGACCCCTTCAAAAGGATCATTCAATCCTCCCACCAAAGGGGTTGTGACCCACAGGTTGAGAACCACTTCCAAGATTCTCTGGCTATGGTGTCCCTCTCCTTTGGGATGGGGGACAAAGGTCTGTGTCCTAGCTGGGAACTTGTGGCCTTTAGCCGGCCTTCCTGGATAGCATCAACATCTCTTGGGGGGCGGGGTGGCTGATGGGAAGGATGCCTGGCTTTGTGACTGTGGCTGTGACTGA